TGCATAAGGACAGGCAGTGGAGGTGACACTAAAACTAGCCACCCTCCTTCAAAGAGGCCCAAGAAAGCAGAGCATCTACCTGATGTGCTCACCAGATGCAGATTTTTTTCTGGAGAGTGGTCTGAAGTCAGCCGGCTCCTGTTAAGCAGCAAGAAAACCTTTTCAAAGTACGATGTAATACTCACATCTGAGACTATCTATAATCCTGACTACTACGATTCTTTGCATGACACACTAGCTCAGCTCTTGGATAAAAATGGCCGGGTGTATTTGGCAAGCAAAGAACATTATTTTGGGGTTGGTGGTGGTATCCCCCTCTTTGAGAAATTCATTGAGGAGAGAAATGTGTTTAAGACCAGCATAGTTAAAACAATTGATAAAGGACTGCAGCGGTGTATTATTGAAATGGCCTTTAAAGAGTCCAGTTAAAATTCAATCACTGGTCCTTCAGAAATATGTTAAAAGACAAAATGTTTTATTCCTCATGTCTCTGCTTTTTCCTCCCTTGAGTTATTCTGGTTTGACAGATTAAGGATGCTAGTTATTGAGATGTTTGACAAATTCTGATTTCTGAGTAGAAGTGAAGGACTCTTCTGAATCTAATTTTGGATAGAAAAGGAGTTCTGCTTAAATCTACATCTGTTTATGCCAATTAATTATCATTTACATGTATTTTAAAATGAAGCAAGTCACTGTCCCCTGTCCCTGCCTCTAATGCTTTGGCAGTGCCAGACCTGGAAGTCACAGGAGCGGCTGCTGAGTGCAGCTTCAACGAGATGATTTATCATCCTCGTGTGGTGGGAGAAGCAGCTCCCGGCGGTCAGGCTCCCAGCTCTGATACGGTTTAACTGCAGCATTAGGATTTCAGACTGGACTGCGTGCCTATGTGCTCTGCTGCTTTGCCACCAGAGGGCGATATGACTGTATCATTTGGCTTCTGTTCTGCTAGCAATTCCACGAATCTTTGTCATGTTTCCATATATAACACACACAATTTTTTATTCAAGCTTTTGAAAACTGTACCAGAGAATATTTACTACTGTGGTCTGTGAATTTTCACATTCAGATTTTGACATGCCACTCTTAAGAAAATTTCAAAAAATGATTGGGAAAAGCTGTACTGTTTTCAGAAATAAAAAAAAGTTTCTATTTTAGAAGCTGAGTTGAAAAAAGATAGTGTAAAAGAGAAGTTCCTTACAACAACCAGCAAACCTATACATGCAATCCAGGGAACTGAAGGATGACAGAACCAAGCATTACGTGACAGCTTGGAAAGGAGATAAACTGTGCTGCAGATTGCTGTACTGTTTTTTTTAACAGTATTTTTCCAGAAATTAGTTGCCCATACGCTATGACCCATTTTCAAGACTTGGTGGGTGGGGAAGGAGGGTACTACTGAACACTAACAGCTCTTTACTCTTCCCAGCAGTTTGGCAGGGCAGCAAGTGTTCAAAGACACCTGGGTACAAGTCATTCCTGTGTCCTAGGCTGAAGATGGTGATGTTGCTGAAGACATTCTTGTCAAAACTGAAAAAAACCCAAAGCACTATAAAATCTGATCCTGAGCACTTGGTGTCACCAACAATTCACACACAAAAAAAACAATAATCCATTGTCTGTTTTGTCTTAACCAAAACTGGACAAGCTATTAGACAACATGTCCATCAAAGCTACTGCTTATCATGATGTACTGCCTTGAGTGCCCTTGCGTAAATACAAACTTAGAGACAGTCGACCACTACAGTGGACTGGATCGGAGGATACTCAGTGTAGCGGAGAAAGGACAACAGTCTGACAGGATGGAAAGAAACTTATAACAGCAGTTACCTAAATAGCTCTAATTATTGCATAAAGTTCCTGTCACTGAAGACTGTGAAAGTCCACTGCAAGGCTCCTATTTTGTCCATGTTTCTATTAAGGTAGAGTCATAGAGGATTTCCTGTACTGTACAAAAGAGACTTAACTACTGTTGTTTCAAAACCAATTGCAAGTAGACCATTCTAAAGGGATGCTTTGGAAACTACTGAGATGGTTCTTTTACAGGCGAGAAGGGAAAAAAGGAGTCAGTTGTGCCATGGGTATGATTGTGCTTTGGAATTTTTCTGCATCGACTCTAAAACTTACCAATGATAGATAACTGCTGACTACAGATTGAGGAAAAAAAAAGTAGTTTTAGCTTTGTCAGATCAATACGGTACTGTTAACAGTTCTTTTTGTCAAAACTGGAAACAGTTGGAAACAAAGCGACTAGTGCTTGCCATTTTTTCAAACCTCAGTTGTAAGACAGTTAGTGGCTTGTTCAGTGACTGAATAGCTTGTTCTGCGCACCTGCCAGGTCTAATACTGTTTCAGAGAGCAAGATGCCCACTATGACAACAAATATAGTTAAGAATAAAAATGTGGTATATTTTTTGATGAGTAAATGAAGGCACTTGCAATCTCCTACATTTCCTCTTGAAAATACTCCACAAACTCGCTGTTTTCAGTTTAATATACTACTCCTTTACTAGCTTAATCTTATTCTTGGATTGATCAAGCATAGCTCTCTTTTTTGTACAAATACAGACTCAGATTTTTTAGGACCTTTAAGTGAAGAGTCACCATCCAAAACAGGAAACCTCACACAGTATAAAGTTCCCATTTCAGAATTACAGATGAGAATTAATAGAGGATGGTGGGGTTTTGTTGGTTTTTTTTGTTTGTTTGTTTGTTTTTGTTGGGGTTTTTTTTGTTGTTGTTGTTGTTTTTTATCAGGTGAAATCAGCAAAATTAGCATTGGGATTTCCACAATTCCAGATGAGTTCTATTCTAGTCTAAAATTCAGCAGATACATGCTGAGAGGAAGCCAAATTCAACACTTAAGTTTTATAGGCTAACGGATGTTGGAACACCAAGAACAAACAACACTAGTTTCCTAAATCTACTTTAAGGCTTTCTCTACATGCCAAATCATCGCCACCCTAGTGACCAGTTTCCTGCTTCTCTTTATGATCTGGAATAAAAAATTTTCACTCACTTGTAATACTTGCACATATTACTTAATAGCTAGGGAAATCAGCCTTTCCCCAAATGACACTGTTTTAGAAAACAACAGGCAAAATTTCTTGTATGAAGAAACAAAGAGGTCATCTGGTAACTCAATTTATTAGCTCATTGCAAATCATCACGCCTTTTCTCCCCTTATCCCACCCCCTTGCTCTTTGAAAGAGTCATCACAATAGGAAATCCAGTCTAAATTATGTCCTTCCCGTAACTATTGTTGAGAGAAACATTAAAATCAGTCATAAAACATCTCAGGAAACTAAACTAAAAAGCTTGTTTGTTTTAACAGGCACTGTCCTTAACTGATGACTTCCCTTTAAAGATAATCTGCTAGTTTTGGGAAATGAGGCTACTAAAAAGATCAGTTTTGTATACTGGCAATTACAGTTATTTCACTAAACCTTAGGGGGAAAAAACCATGAGGAAAATCAAAGTGGGAAGTGCCTAATTTGCAAATTATTGACTTGTATGCTATTTTTGGTTACTAGGTACAAAGGCATTTAATCACATTCTGAAATCAAAATCTTGTGGAGAAAAAACAAGCCTGTGATCAATGTTATCATGGCATTAGAAGTAGTGCAGCCGAAGACTATTCACTGCACAAGAATGTAAAGAGAAGCACAAACAGCAGATGCAAAAGTGCACAGGGGTGCTGGAGGGAAAAATCCAGGCTGCCTGGGGGGGGAAGCAGGTGCCAACCACAACACCTGTAACACCAGGTTCAAGAGATCCTGCCCCCAGGTGATTGAGATGGAACTCTTCTAATGAGGAATGACTGAAAGGTTTGAGAACAAGTACAAGAAATTTTGCCCAACCAGTCAAAACAAAGACACAAGGGTGACATACAATGCATTAGTAGTGTATTAAGGTAGTAACAACAGGATTTATTTTTTTTGGGATACAAACTCAACTAAAGCCTCTCAAATTTCATAGCTTGTACTTGAAGAGTCACATGCACACTGAAAAGAAAAAGTTGCTCTATACCACCAGATACTAGTAGATAAGTGCAGTAGAAAACAGCAAAGGGAAGAATTGGGATTTAGATAGAAATATCTCTTAAAGACTACAAGTCAACAACGTAAGCATAAGAACGAAGCATATTCCCTTGAAATCTACAGCAGCATTAAAAGACAACTGGCAGAAAACAAAGAAAGTGAAAATTGTAGCAAGTAACTTAACAACAAATGAAAGGCAAAGTGCTGCCATGACACATGTAGTAAGTTAATTTAGACACTGCCTAGGTGTACTGGCTCTGGCAAGAAAGGTAGTTACCTATAAATTAATTATTGCTATAAAAGGAAAAAAAAAGTATCATACAGGGGATAAAAGTACAGAGGAATCAGTACTGTCAGAATTTGACATTGCCATCAGTCTACTAGAGGTGAGAATGTCACAGGAACACAAAAGATCTCAACTGTTACTTGTGTGGAACATAAATGCTGAATTTTCAAAACCATGGAGTAAATCAAACCTTTACATCATTGGTGAAGAACTGTAATAGTCAACCCTCTCCTCTCCTTCCTCCCCCAATTTTTGTAAATTTGGATAAAGGAATTTGAAAAGCCTAAAGAGCAACAGGAAAAAAACAGAAACTGAAAACACTGTGGTCAAAAAACAAGGAACAGGTCCGATCCTGTGGCGCTTAAGTTAATGGCAAAATCCTGATGTATCCTACAATGTATCAGACAGCACTGGATGAAAATAAATTTCAGGTAACATACCGTGGGAGTGTTTAATTAGATGGCACATCAAAAGAAGAAAAAGGCTTAGAACTGCAGATTCTGCACAAAGAAATGATCTGAAAAGTAAGATATATCTGGGGATTATATTATATATATTCTATTTATATATTTTATATATATATATATACTATTTTTTATATATATTATACTATATGTATTCTATAGATATTATAAATCGCAGCAGAGTCCAGCTACTCCAGATTTATGATAACACACAGAAGACATTTGATTTTATTTATTAAAGTACAGCTCGCAGAGTTACCAGTTTTTGTTGTGTACATAAATTACCAATTTATTTCTTTTCATCTGACCATGTAATTTCATAATCTGGATATGCTTTTTTCAGTATCTCCACAGTCACTGAATGATCTGCTTTTCCATAGCCCTGCAAGAGCAAATGCTTATTAGACATATACAGAAACTCAACAGAAACATTCAGTTGTTGTTGACACAAATGATCCCGTTATTCGACACTTCAAGTAGTTCACATACAAAAGGCTCTAAAAAGTTATTCTTGCAGTATTGTGTTTGATTTAACTCTTGTCCTCTCCAATCGACCCTCCCCAACCTGAGATGTAAAAAAATAAATGAGATGGGGTCAGGCATATTTTTCACATTGTGGTTTCTCCAGCAGAAAACTCGCTTTAAAATGTTCCCAACCTCACAACCACCATATTTACTGAATATCCTTTTAAACCACAGAGATTACATTGACCACTTTAATGAGTGAACATACAAACATCTGATTTAGCTCAGCTGAAAGAAAAGGGAATAAGCCACCACATGTGTAAACATTTGAGTAATATTCTAGCCACTAAAGAAATCACAGTGTTCATCTTTTATTTATTTGGAATCTTGCTTTAGATGGTATGGCATAATTTTAAATATCTGTGTTCTTTAGCCACTACAACACCAAGCTAAGGCAAGGTCAGATGACTCATGTGATGAACCTTCCTTTAAATCACTGATAACATTGTTACTCTTTCACTGAAATTTAAGACAGTTGTGGTAGAAAGTGCCTTTTCATTACTGTCTTATATGACTGGAGTCGATATCTTATTTTAGAACTACAAGTAGGTTTTCCCTGTCAAAAAGCCTTCACTGCACAACAGCGCAGTCTACTGACAGAAACCTGTAATTTACAGGTCACCTTTTTCCAGTAGTATATCGTGAGAAACTTGGAAGACTGAAAAAGAGAGCTCAAGCTGGCATTATTAAACAAAACATGTATTCTTACTCATGACTGACTCTGCCCCAAGAGGAACAGTTTAACTAACCAGCATTTAAACTTTACAGATTAAAATTACTGATGCATTATAAAATGCAAACTTTTCAAAAAGACCAGATAATATAGTTATGTCAGAAATACTGCAGGTTTATCCTGTCAGTTGTAAAGCAATGGACTCTTCATCAGGGACTGTTACACTTCATCAGGGACTAGAGTGATAGGACAAAGGGTAATGGGTTAAACTTAAATAGGGGAGATACAGGTTAGATCCAAGGAAGAAATTCTTTATTGTGAGGGTGTTGAGGCACTGGCACAGGCTGCCAAAGGAAGTTGTGGCTGCCCAATCCCTGGCAGTGTTCAAGGCCAGGCTGAACAGGGCCTTGAGCAATCTGGTCTAGTGGGATATGTCCCTGCCCATGTAAGGGGTTGGAACTAGATGATCTTTAAGGTCCTTTCCAACACAAATCATTCTGTGATTCTACAGATTACTCTTGCCTTGGTAATCACTTTGAAAACTTTAACCAATTTTGGAAATAACAGCACAGCATCAGCTGCAGGAAAACAATGACTATTTCCCTGGTTTTCATAAAACTCCAGGATAATTCTGGTTAAGAGTCTGACAACAAATCACCAAGTAGAGAGAAGCATTAAACCAATGTAATTAATATACTCACTTCTGACCTGCTACTGAGGTCTTCTCAACCTCCACGTCTCTGCCTGACAGAAGCCCTCATGGTAATAAAGCCCTGCTTTTACATGGTGCTTAGCTGTAAGTGTCAAGGTACCAAAGCAAAGAAGCACTGTATTTTCCATAGACATTACAAGAATAGGAGTTGACTACTGCCTCTAACACTAGATTGGCAGTTGAGTAATGCAAGTGTCAAGTCTCATCTGAAAAGGCAGGTCACATGAGGGACTACAATCACAAGAACTTAGTAGAGTAAGCATTATACACTGCCTTCACACCCCCCACAAAACTAGAGTGGGTTTCTTTTTTTCCTTATGATTCCAGGTGGCAAGAGTCATCTCGGAACAAAAGCAGCAGTAGCATTTAGAAACACTTAACACATTCAAGGCCCAACCTCCACTGCTCACCTAAGGTGAGCAGATTGGAAGTAACCATCACTTTCTATTAACAGTTAACTTAATAGAACTATTTTCTTTTGAGCTAGAATCTTTACTTACAGTATCACTACAGAAACAGCTATGCCTCATCACAGAGCAGCACCAGAAACAGGCTATAGTATGTTCCCTAATATCAAGAAATCATTATCACTTGAGTCTTTCTATAAACAAACAGGTAACAAAATGTGTTCTAGCTTCCATGTTCTTGGAAATTACTTTTATTCCCACAAAATGCATTTATGTGAAACTACATCTTCACCTATTGAAAATTAACCACACCTAAACTGGGTCTATTCTTCTCACCCAACACATATACAGAACAATATTCACAATTTAGCTGGTCACTACCAACCATCATTCTCATGCAAATAAAGGTTGCATAATAGCTGGATCAAGACCCGGTGGCTACAAATGGGCTCCTCCTGATCTATGAGTAAGAAATTCTGAGTCAAGAGAAGCTAATTTCCATTTTTAGTCTGGATTATAACTTAATGTAGGTATTATTCAGCACTGAGTTATCTATTATTTTTGCTTTTTAATGGCAGCCTCCTGCCCTTAAAACTTGTGGTTTTTTTTCTAATTTATTTCATAAGTGAGCCAGGCAAATTTTCCAATTTTGTTTACACTGCGATTCAAATCGCCAAAAGCCACAATACTATGAAACAAAAAACCTGAGAACATGAGAGACAAAACGATCTGAAGGAATACAAGAGATGCACTTACTGTCGAGAGCCCAAATACCCTAATTTTCTTCTCCTTGTTATTATGATCAATTTTCCCTCCTCCAAGGCACTTGCACTCATATCCCAGCTTTTCCATCTCAGGATTTACTTTTTCAAATATATGATCTGCACAAGAAGAATGGTTAAAGCCATTAGAATATGCACCCAGTATCAAATACTCGAGAACTCTTCAGCTATTTTCCACTCATTTTCCTCCAGTGCCCTTCTTTCGCCTGCAAGAGGGAGGTTTCTCTTGGTAAGACATAGAAAAGCTGTAATTAAGGTTCTCTATTTTAGGCTTTTTACTTAGTTAACACCTCTCATTCTCCTAAACGAGGTCTACCAGGTTCAAAAATGGCATCTGGCAGAGACATCGCTTTTCCTATTCACACAAGGCACCTATGAAGGTGACAAAAGGGGCTTCTAACGACTCCCGCTGACACGAGCCACCGCAGGCTGGGGGCTCTCCCTCCGCCTGATTCGCCTGGGAACCGGCGGCCACCTCCCGCACTTGAGGCACGCTACCGGGGTAGACGGGGCCTGTTACCAGTCGCTCCCCTCCCGCCGCCCTCCACCCCCGCGGCCTGTCACCCACTATGGAACTCGGCTGCCTTGGTGCCACGGACGATGTCCCGCGGCTCCTGACCGCCCGGGCGCTGCAGACGGACCAGGATGTACTTGAACGTGCCCTCAGGGTCGATCTCTACGTCCCGCACCGCGGCCATGCCGGTGCCCCCACTCCCCGCGAGCAGGCGCCGCTCAAGCCGGGGGGCGGGGCGCTAGGCCCTGCTGCCGCTCGGTGGGTCGTCGTGAGGCGAGGGCACAGGGGCACGGGCAGGCGGGGCCGGGCCGGGCCGGCTTCTCCTCACAGGCTGCGGCAAGGCGCACGGCGAAGGCCGGCGTTACTCCTTCCGGTTGCCTGCCCAGGGCTTAGGAGTGCGTTTGTCTTCAGCTGCAGTGTAGCCTATCCCCGGGTCCCAGAGCCGGGCCTCGCACTCGCCATCGTGGGTCTGCCGCAGGGCAAGGCGTTTATAGCGGGGGGAACGGGGGTCATAGAGAGTCAAGTAGCTTTATGCCCCAGCATTTTGTAGGATACATTTTACAGGTACTGAATAAGAGAGAAATTCACCTCCTGTTTGCCTTATTTCTATAGGTTCCACTTGATGGGTTAGGTAAGCTCCACACAGATTCATCAGAAAGTCACAGGTGTCTAGAATGACTAAGGTGCACCAATTCACTGAAGACTAAATCCATTATAATATTAACTGAAGGAAAATAACAGTTTCCTTGCAGTGCTGAAGTAAGAACATATCAAGAGCATATTCCAAAAAGAAGGAATACGCAAAGACTAGTAGTTTTGACATAACCACATCTTTCTGATAGCGGAATAGACTTCACTTTCAAGTGCTATGTTGTAGGTCACTTTCAACCAAGCTACTCTTTTAATACATAGAAATAGTAAATCATAATTTACATTCATTTCTTAAGTTCTAAATTTTTTTACTGCTTGGATGCAGACAGTGTACTATATAACATACAATACATTAAAAACAGTAAAATAGAGGAAGAGTTCGGCCTATAGAGGTGCTTAAGAGGATAAATTTTAATTCAAAAGTTACATTTGTTTTATGATTTTTTTAAAAAATGCTATTCATTAACTAATTCATTAGCTGTCCTAAGCCTGAATAATGACTAAAGCATGAATCTTTATAAAGAGATGGGAAAGAGCTTTAAGTAGAAACACATCTCAGCTGCTCTAGATTTACCAAGGTAGGCAGGGAAAGTGATAAAAACTGTGTCTGGGTAAGGTGCCCTTTAGGGTAATAAGGCCGAGGGAGTTTTGTGGGGTTGAGGTGTTTGCTCAAGCTTGTTTTGTTCTATAGTGAAGGCCTCTAGGGTTATTGTAACATCTGTTCTTTAAGTTTCTTTCAAACACTCTTGAAGGTCTGTTTTTGTTTTAATTGCTTTTATGGATGTAGCTTTTTGTCTAATAGCCTAATATTTTATGTTCTTATTTATCTCTTGTTGGAGCTGTGTCATTAAAAAGGTTTTATGGAGCTTGCTTGTTTGAGTGAACCTTGCCTTTTTATTTTAACAAGAATTGGGTATTTCCCAAGAATTTCCTTAATGGCAGAAGTCTGTTGTATGGCTGTGGAAAACTTTATTGACCTGTTTCACTTACGATGTACGGAAGGAACTAGCAGCAAACAATGGTTGCACTGATGACCAAGAACAAGGATAGCAAAGGAAATGCTTGTGGTATGCTTCAGATAGAAGCTGAACTTAAAAGGAGTTTGTCCTTAACCAGAAGAGCAGTCATTTGACTTGATCTGACAGGAGCTTGACCTTAAAAGCCCAAGTTTGTGACTTGGTAATAGGTAAAGCACAACTTTGTCCTGTTTTTCGTAATACTTTTGTCTTCCTAAGCACCCACCTTATCCAGAAGTAGTTTTCTGTGCTGAGCTGTAGGATATTTCTGTTGGTTTTTAGGCTGAGAAGTCCCCTGCTGTTGGTGGTAACCGTTAGTGCGTCACTTTGTGGGTCTCAGGGGTACAAAGAGGATGGCATGGGGTAACAGGAGTCTTAAAACAGAGACAGACTGTCTCCAATAAAACTTCATGGAGGGGCTTTCCTTTTGTAATGAGCTTACTCATATCTAACTGTGGCAGTGAGTTTGGCACTACTTTCTGAAAAATTAAGGGTTTTTTAATTTATTTATTTGACCAGGTGACATCTTGTCTCTTCACAGTTGTGTCCTAAAAACCATTGTTCTGAGAAAAAGTATTGTAAGTATATCAAATTAGGTAATGGTGAACTGATGTGATAATAATTAGGATAGTGTCTATTTTTCTTGAGTAGTTACGGCCAGATCGTAAGTGTTGCCAGTGTTTTTTTTACTCTTCTGTGTTACATATGGGGCTTGTTTTCCATTATGTTTTGCAGGCTTTGGACTGGACCCAGATTGACTGTAAAGTTGTATTGTTGTTTATGCCCTGCTTATCATCAGATTGTTTCAATATTTATGGCCTTGTGAAATTCACCTATTCTTGTGTTGTGCCAATATTGTGATGTATATTGCAGTGGATTAAACTGTTAGTGTAACAGCATGTGTGGTTAGGCTGCTGTTAGGCTATATCTGGGGTACAATAACCAAGTTACTGGTTGAGCTAGTGCGTCTGAACTTGGTCAAACTTCTCTGTAATACTCGATCAGGGAGATTAAAAAGAAAGAACACAACGTGTGGTTCATGTGACATGATGAGATACTTGGTTGTTACTGTTGTAGCTACCCCAGTTGGTTTTCACAATGTATAATACCTTCTGGTAGGTCGTTCTTTTACCTTCTAAAACTACTTCCTGACTGTCTTGGGAGGGATAAAGCAGATAATAGCCTTGTGTTCTATACTGCATCTCTTATAAGAGGGTTCTGTGACTGTGCTTTTTGTGAGTGTTCCTTCTGAGGGAATGGGTTCCTCTGTACCGTGTGAAATATTTGGGTGATGGAAACTGCTGATGGGGGACAAATACATTCTTGTTGTCACACATAACTGAATTTCTGCTGGACTTTGTGGTGGCATTAAGGCTACAAGTTAAAGTAACTTTCTAGAAACATTTTTCTTCCATATTATGTGTTCCCATCCCCCAAGAAAGATAGCTCTTTTCAGGTGTATACTGCTACTGAGTATTCTTCGAAAATCTTTTTTCCTAGAGTTTCATGGTTTTTGGTTAGTGAGGTAGACAAATGGTCTCCAAATGATCTTGCAGGAGGCTTCCGTTTGAGTGCAGTGCCCTTAAAAACTAGATCTTGAGTGTTTATTAGAATTAAGCAGTACCTTGACACATCAAAGTACAGCTACTGTATCTTGAGTATTTATATCCTCTAGCTGTATACCATTCAGTAGCTCAAACTACAATTCAGATCAGTATTTTCTTTTGAAAAAAAAAAAAAATGGAAACTGTGGCTTTAATACATGGGTTCGTACATGAATATGTTAAATAATAGTTTTCCAACAAATAAAGATTCTGAATGTAGTTAAAGGAGTGCACCTATGTGCCAATATCAAGTCTAACAGCAGATGAATATGCTAATGTCATGTTAAAAATAAATTGGTAATTTAAATGTGTTATGAGCAAAGCACAGTGGATATGCACCTCCTGTATGAAGATAGGCTGAGAAAGTTGGGGCTGTTCAGCCTGGAGAAGAGAAGGCTGCCTGGAGACCTCATAGCAACCTTCCAGTATCTGAAGGGGGCCTGTAAGGATGCTGGGGAGGGAATCTTCACTAGGGACTGTAGTGATAGGATTAAGGGGTAAGGGGTTCAAACTTAAACAGGGGAAGTTTAGATTGGATATTAGGAGGAAGTTCTTTACTGTTAGGGTGGTGAGGCACTGGAATGGGTTGCCCAGGGAAGTTGTGAATGCTCCATTCCTGGCAATGTTCAAGGCCAGGTTGGACAGAGCCTTGGGTGGCATGGTTTAGTGTGAGGTATCCCTGCCCATGGCAGGGGGGTTGGAACTTGATGATCTTAAGGTCCTTTCCAACCTTAACTATTTTATGATTCTAATATAAATACATCTGGATTTTCTTATTATGTATTTGCAGTCCAGCTAGAGCACATGTATCTGCAATATAGCAGATACAGTACTGTAGGTATGTCAAGTGATAGGTTCTTAGGAGTTCCTGAGGCATAGGTGCTAGCAGAGCAAAGCAGGTGTTGTCTTATTAAGTAAGGATTTTTGGAGCAGTTCTGCCCAGTTCTCCCTTTCTTGTGTTTGATCTCTATCCCGTCTTGCTGTGAATATACCAGAGATGGCTGTTGTAGGAATCTCATTTACTAATTAGATTCCTAAAACCTTTGCCATAAAATTAGAAAGGTTGAATTTCTTATTAGCCTTTCCTTTAATCATCACTGGAAAAACTGTGCATGTAAAAACCAGGGCAGATCACTGGAAGTTCTCAGGGTGTGATGGGACAGGGTGCTAGATTATCTCATCTAGGCTGCGTTTCCCAGGAAAGTTTGGAGTACGTGATCTTTCAAGGTTCCTTCCAACGTGGGCTATACTATAAAATTCAAATGTTAAGGTTATTGAAAAAGCAGGTTTGGTTGGTAGGTTTGTTTGTTTACTTCAGGTGTGTGTGCTTATGAGTGTGTAAATGGACTTGCCACTTCAGTCTTTGCATGCTTGAAAACATCTGATCTTCACTAAAGATAATTGTTGTGTTCTCCCCCATTTCTCCACATCAATTCTGTGTAGTCAGTAACAGCATTTTTCAATCAGACTTGAGCTATGAGCCTACTTTTAAAATTCAGGCAAAGCACTGCATACAGTATTTCAACTCCTCTCTTGGTCTAAATGTCAGGAGTCCAGCTTTAAGACTAAATTACCTTTTGACTCACACTGCAACACTCAGAGAGGCTGAATATCTGACTCCTTTCCCCTGCATTATGTTCTGTGTTTTACAGCCTTCAGCTAAAGTCAGTAACTGGAAAAGTTTAGTATGTTATTACAAAGGAAAGCCTTTTGAGTAACCCAGTAACAGAAAGGATCCATGAAAAAGCATGGATTGAAAGCCCAAATGGATTAGCCCTTGTGCATGATGGTTTGAGATTTTCTTATTTGTAGGTAAAAGCTAATTTGGCCTTGAAATGAGGTTTTTTTTGAAATTAAGGATGGGGAAGAGAAGATGAGGCTGTACTGCAGTTGTATATGGAGATACCAAAATGAGTTGTAATTTAACAAGTTCAGGTAGCGGAAGTCATCTGGCTGTAGAAAAATGAAGTTCAGAT